TTTATCAGAACAAATATGTCTATGTCATACTAATTATTTATCGTATATTAAAAATTATTGCTTATTTTCAAAATTATCTTAGCCCCCCTGTCGGGCTAGGTCTAGCGCCACTCTTGCTGTCATCAGGCTTGCATCAAACGCTCACGAAGAGATCATCGCTAAGGCTGGCCGGAACTCATCATTGGTCATCCCGCTGCAAGGCGACTGAGCCCCCGTCTCCTAAGGCGTCTTCAGCTGAAATGACATAAGTTCAATACAGTGGTGAATTATATATGCCTATGAATTATTTAAAAATAGTGGTGGATAAAAATATACTAAATTGAATATATTAAACTAAGAATCACAATTGATAAACTACCACTTTAAAATATATATTTGCTGTCCGGAGAGAGTTGGCATCCATGCATACGTAGAATGATTTCTGTTTGGAAATAAATAGCTGTGAAAATAAAAAAAATATGTTAGGCTACTATTTTTTTCTTTTAACATAACTGACGCTACTCTGAAGCGTAGCCAACTTCTTTTAGATGGATTTTTTGTTTTTTTAATTTTTTTATATCATTCAGTCTGCAAGTAGGAAAATTTTTAAAATGTTTCTTAAAGAAAAAAAAAAGACTAGTAATTTCGTGTGTTATTTTAAATCATTTAAAATGTTTGATTACTAAATTTTGATGATAGTAGTTTATATCTAAAAATTCTTAGTGTTTATGCAAATAAATTCTACATTTTACTCAGTTTCAATTAAATAATTAAATATTAGAATTTTCCTATTCATTATAAACAAAACGTAAAATAAATGCCGTCATTTATGAATGCAACCAGGCGAACTAGTAGTCTATGAATAGTGTATTTTAGTAAAACGTGAAAAATGTTCACAATAATATCAGAGAAGAATGTTAAACGAGAAAAGCGTAAACAAAATTTAAAACTTTTCGAACAGTAATTATTATTATTATTTTGATACGTGCAATAGGGAAAGTTTTATTTTATAAGTTAATTGCTTGAATTATTTAAAGGAAATCGAATTGTTTTAAAAAAGGAGAAAACACATAAATTTTACTAATAAATTAACGTAATAATACATTTAAAACTTTTTAATAAAACGTGTTAAAAACGAGAAAATTGCAAAAAAGAAAATTAAAAGTTTTCAAACGGTAATTTTTTAAAAAATTTTTTTGAGACGCGCAATAGGAAAGTTTTATTTTACAAATTGTCTATTGTAAAAATGTAAATTATGTCACGGTATCAAAAATTTATTAAAATTCAATTGAGAGAAATGTAAACCAAAATTATTATTTTTTTAAAGACATGTACTGCTTACTACTGTAATTGCTTTAATAACGTGAAAATAGTGGACTTGAAAATTTTTTTATTTCCCCCAGTGCTGTAGACGATGCACTATGAGTCAGAGTTTATTAATTTAATGAGGCTAAAATTTAAAATACATTAAAAATAATTTTTTTGGGAGGGGGGATGTTAATTTTTTATGCACCATAAGAAATACGATAAAGTGTTGTCACTATAGCCATTATTAGACTAGTGGGGATCGTAGAGGTTAAGGTTCCACAATAGTGACGAACGTCATGATTAAGATGATGAGGTCAGCATTGCGCACAGGCTGCTTTTACTTCTTATAGAATGCGGAGGCTTATCTATGGAAAGAAGCACGTATGGCAAATCTACTACCGGGGACTGTCATAAAATATTTATAATCTCTTTCTTTTTTTTATGCAATACGAAATAAAAGCATTATGTGAAGTATTTAACCCTTTTGGCGATATTGCATTGCATTTTTTTTAAAAAAAAAATAGATAAATAAATAAATAAAAATTAATTATAGCAAGAAAATTATCTCTTTTTAATTGTAATGCATTCATGTTTATTCGAAATCAGCATTGGTTAGAAATAAAATGGTCTGTTTTATCATATTTACCAAAGATTAAACTGCGTTTTTTCATTTGTCAATAAAAATTTTAATAATTTGTTTAACCCTTTCGCGCCGACTGTCACAAATACGTGCCAGCATAAAGACATATCAATCAGGGTAAAAAGATAAAACTGGTAATCAAAGAAAATTCTTTAGTAAATGTACCAATTTTTAAAAAAAAAAAATTATTTAATTATAAATTTTGTTGATGATGTGTACCGATGTTAAATATCTTAAACGTTAATTAAGGTGATGTTACAATTAAAATATATATTACACAAAGTAATGGGTTGTAAAATTTGATAGATGTATTCAGTCGATAAAGTTTAAGACAATAAAAAAAAAAGAGAGATTATTTAAACAATAAATTTTGGTAATAAATTTGGATCATCATAAATTGATGTGAAGAAAAGGCCAAAAGTGATCGAAAATAGTGGAAGGACATGTTGCTTAAGTGCCACGTGAATTAACCCAACAGCAAGGGCTCGTGGTCAAGATAAAGTTAGGGGACGACTGAATAACAACTATGAAATTTATACACAACAATAAATAAGTTGTAACTATCCTCTAGTCAAATAAATACCATAAAAAAATGAGTTACTCACCTCCAGGGCTTCAAGTGGCAAAACATGGTTTTGGAGCATCTTTGGAGCAACAAAAAAGCAATTTTGGAGCAGCAAAACAAAGATTTGGAGCATATTTAATAAATAGAATTAAAAGAAGAATTTAATAACAAGAATTTTTAATTTTGTCCATTAATAACATATCTTATTTTTTACACTTTTTTGAAGGTCCCTGCATTAACAAATTAAGTTTCTTTTTGGTACCTTCCAATGCTGTTAAATATTCTGCTATCCTCGACTTAGCCTCAGATAAGAGGATCCGTCCGCTTTCTATAATCGACATGTCTTTCTTATTTTACCCATCTTTAATATTTTTTCAGCTGCGGCTAAGAGATCTTGAGAAGCCTTCAATTTTTTTTTGCAAATCAATTTCAGCAGCTTTCAATCTGCTTTCCTCAGTTTCAGTGTTTTTTGCTTTCTTTTTTCTCAACCTCTAGTCGAGCAGAATAATTTTTAAATGCTGCACGAGCCACTTTAATCATATCTTTGTCAACTTTAAAGTTATTTAAACCCCTATTTTGTTGATATATCTAGTAACAAAGTGATCATCTAGTAACTAAGATGCCTCTCCAGGCTATATAATGGATGGGGTTACTGTTGCCAGATATCTTATTGACTTAATAGAAGCTTCTTCCATTCTCATTACAGGATGCAACACTTTAAGATGGTACAGTAATCTATTTTTAAGAGGCAATACTTTTAATAAATTTTCTGCGCATGCCAAGTAAAAAGACCTGGCACCTAAATACATAATTTTTTTTCTGAAGAAGATAAGGATGTCATCGCCTTTGGTATCTAGTCCAACATCTATTAAATTCTAATTTTGCCAAATTTCTGCATTTTCTACATCCAATGATTTTAAGTCCTTTCCTGACAAACATGAAAAGCAGAACTCTTCAAGAAACGCCCTAACAATGCTTTAACTAGGAACACCATTTCATCACACAGCAAGTGAATCAATGGTGTTTCAGTTTTTAAAAGACCTAAAAATTTATTTAATAATGCCGAAATATTTCTTTAAAAAAAAGAGCTTTTGTCAAAAGNTTTTCAATGTATTATTATAGCGATTTTTCACTTACGGTCTCTTTTCTTTATGGTGCTTCTGTGTACGTCACCGCTTCAGGAAAGCATTTCCGACCCCACATTGCTATATGATTTCGAGTCGTCAGGATGCCCCCTACCCCTCTTAGAAGTTCTGAAGCGCTTAACTGAGACACCCTGTATAACATTAAACTGACAATACTTAAAGTAAAAGCAAAGTAAGTCTGTCAAATTAGCAACGACTACATTTAAGTTACCGTTTTTTTTTAAAATTACATCCTGATTCTGATTTTGTACGAATGCTTTTCTGAATCACCCGTCCCCAAGGGGTTAATTAAGCACAATTATATTTTAAAGTTTTACAAATATAACTAGGCAACAGAAACAAGCAAGCACAACAAATGTCTCTGGGTTAAAGAAGAACTATAACATAACCGGATGATTACTCAATATTTTCAAACTTAAAACAAGGAAATTGAAATTTTTTAAAAAAATAATCACGCTTTGCTAACATCAAAACAATAAAATCATCGCAATATAAAAAATTCATTAACCCTTTCGCGCCGACTGTCACAAATATGTTACAGCATAAAACAGTATCAATTAGGGTAAAAAGATAGAACTGGTAATCAAAGTATTTCTTTAGCAGTTTATTTGTGGGCGGAGTTATAATTGTTTGATTTATTTAATTCACCAATACTTTGTTCAAAATAAAACTATTTAGTTATACTTTGAATTAACATTGATTATGTATATGATTAAACTAACAATAATTAAAGTCAAAGCAAAATAAGTCTGTCAAATTAACAACTACTACATTTAAGTTACCGTTTTTTATTTAATTACAACTTGATTCTGATTTTGTACGAATGCTTTTCTGAATTACCCGTCCCCAAGGGGTTAAAGATCACAGTGTAAATAATTACGATTTGTTATGACAATTACAAATAAAATAGCTACAATCAAATTATATATTTTGGTTAGTTCATTTACTGTTCAATAAAAAAACCGATGATCTTAATATAATTATGTTTAACTGACATATTATAACAGATAGTAAGAGAAAATATACACATAATTAAATACAAAACTCTTGACTAAATAGCGACAATAATACATTCTTTAATGAGACCAGAATGCATTCTGGTCTATTGAAAAAAAAAAAATTTATCTTTGCATCACAATGGAGCAAATTAGAGATAAAGCAAAAAAAAAAAAAAAAAAAAATTAAACAGATTTGAATTATAAATTTTTCGACATTCAGTGGGCAAAAAAGAAATAAACTGACCATCCTGATAACTTTTGATCTTCACGTTCTCCTCATCTGACTTAAAATATGCTAATAAATAAGTGCAGGGACGATATTTTAAATTACGAAATAAGGGGTTAAAACATACTTAAAACATAAAATTTTTTTCGACTGATTTGGATTTCTGAACCCCAAAACATAGGGGGTAGTCGCAATCTAAGAAGTAACTCTAATGCTTTTCAAGTGAAATGAAATTTTCCCCCACTCAGTTATAAAGGTCGTTTATAATTGTGTAAATTGTTAAAAAATAACTTTAAGTAAATGCTGATTATTTTATTTGATAGTCGTAAACAATTTGAATTGTAAGGTATACGTTTTTACATCGTTTTAAAAAAAGGTAGTTTAACAAGGAAAAATTTATTATGGATTAGAATTAAAAATATAATACTTTCTAATATATAACATTAAAAGGAGAAAGCATAAATGTCCCTTTCGATATATATACGTATATTCAGAAGTGCCAACTTGTTCTGATTAATGGGGAACTTTTTTCTAGTGGCAAAATTTACGTTTTAATGCTTGATTTTTGGTTTATGTAAACTTATTATAAAATTATTTTTTCCGCCCATACATATGTATAATTCGAAATTTTGTGTGAAACAATTTCATTCGCTATCTTGTAGTAAGCATTTTAAATTTTTCCAAAATTATCTGAAATTTGAAAGTTTTGGTTTTTAAATCTCTACCACTTATTAAAATATTTCAAAGAAATTTAAAATAATAAGTAAATAATATTTCAACCATAATGCAAAAAATAGGATAAAAAAAATATCAATATTATATTATAATGACCTTGCATAATAAATTCATTAGCTAGGAGATACTTTGAAGCAAATAGTTCAAGAGTTCTCAGAAAGGCATTAGTTCTCATTAAAGGCTCGAGAATATAGAATAGTTAAAACTAATTTAATACTGATTTACAGAGGGAGCTAGGAGGCTCCGCCCTCTGCTCGCTAACGCTCGTCAACCCCCGAATCCTATGTGGTTCTCGCCGTGAACCATGGCTCGCTGCGCTCGCTCGCCAATGAACACAATGTTCTAGCACAAAGACATAGTATATTATCATCAAAGACATAGTATTTTATCATCAAAGACATAGTATTGTACTTATGTAGAAGAATTCTACCAATGTTCTTATTGGCTTTTAAAAAAGTATATTAGCTATTTAGATTGTACATGGTGAAAAAATCAAAACATTAGCTAAATAAGAAACATATTAGCAAAATAAATTATCAAATATTGCTTCACTAATATTCTGCATTTTAAAGCGTGAAAATTCAATGCATAAATAAACGCGAAATATAAAAAAATTCAATGCATTCAATACAAACACTTAAACGTTTTTTAGACGTTTAGGTAGCTCCCAGTAGAAAAATATCAATTCAACAGCGGCCTTTTAAAGCATTCTCACTTCAATTAATTAATTAATTCCTAATTGAGTTTAAATTAAATATTGTCATGTTTTTAGTGCATGAATCTGAATTGAACAACCTGATAATGCTCACTCTGGTTATTGTTATCTGGTTGCTCACTACGTGCTCTTGCGCGCCGAATCCAATCAATTAAAAATGAAAACTGTTGCCAGCGCGAGAAAAGAAATATCATCGGTTTTATTGATACATACATACGTAGGTATTAGCGTTTTATATAATATAGATAGATAGTACTTACTATTAAGCTTTCAGTTTGAAAACTAGGCGTTACCTTTGTTCTTGAAGTAAGGTTAAGATAATAAATTTTAAATATAAAGATTATCCAAATTTCATTGCGTTGAAACTATGATCTTGAACATGATACACAAGAACACAAGCCTCAATCAATTTTAACTCACCAGGAAATCAATAGCTAAAGCTGCTGCTCTTAGCGAGTTTTTTTAAACTTATTTTGTAGTTGTTGACAAACATGAATTGTAATGCTTGAATGTTAAAAACCATTTTTTAATAATAAAAGTGGTAGTTTCTTTCAAATCTAATTTTGGTTTTTAGAGCATCACCATTATACATTGTACTTCGAAAATACCGTTGTTCCGCTTTGTAAAAGGTTATTTTCTAATGATTACGAAATTTAAACTAATTAATGAAAATAAAATGAAAATTACTTTAGTATTTTTCATTATAAGTCATTTTTCCTCAGACACATATCAAAAATTCACAGTATCATTTGAAATCTAACTTTCGAAGCTGTCTCGTCGGGGCATTATTAAAAAGTAGGCGTAATTATCCTTATTCCGCTATTTTTTAAATTCACTACTAGTTTATTACTACTTTCGCTGAGGGTGGAGCAGTTATCTTGGTGATTCTTTTCTACGTTCTAAAGTGCAGATAAATTCAATCTATCGTTGACGAGTATTTCAAACATAAATTTCTTTTATTCTTATAATAACAGTTCCTTTTAAAATAACTACTTTCTATTCTACGGTATCTGATTAATAGCAGAAATTCTATCTTAAAAATTATCACAAAAATCCTGGAAAACTATTGGTTTCAAAAACATATTATACACTAAAATTTGTGTTTTTATAATATTTTTGTACTCCCGCAGACCCAAATTAGATGCTGCATTTCAAATAGGTGGAGTCTTTAATTACTTTCAATGCAATTTTGTTGATTAACACTAGTAAAATTACGTTACTAAATAATACAATATATAATAATATATTATAATATATATAATAAAATCACTATGATGAGTAGACAGTTCGTTAGCCGGAAGTAGAATTGTCGGAAGTAGAATTTTACCGATATCATTTATGTCGTGAAACAGGAGATCTGTTTGAGAGATTTTCCTTAAGATTTTCTGTCATAACATTTAAGTGATGGTGCAAGGGCATCTTGCTAGAGAAATGTAGGCCGAGAATATTCGACAGTTTTGGACCCTAGGGATGGGTTTGACGAAAATATTGAAACTAAAATTTTCAGCAATTCGTCTTCTAGAGAAGTTAATGGTAGCATTTTTCTTTCTGGAACAATTTCAATAATCCAATCATTACACCATTTCTGAATTTGGTGAATACTGGTACTTTTATTATTTAAATTATGGAAACAAAAATATTTATAAGAAAACAATAACTTTAGGACTTATAATCAGTTTTATGCTGATGACAACCAAACCAAAATGAAAATTAATGTATTATAACTGGATTTTACCATGAGATTTTCCCGCCAATAAAAATGTAATGACAACAATAGAAAACTGAGACACCATCATAAGATTTTTATATTTATTAAGATAAAATATATTCACTGCTTTTAAAAATTGATAGATAAATGTTTTGTGATCCTTACAACGAGTTAGAAATATTATTTTATGAATCGAAATACAAGATACTCTTCAATATTTTTTCACAAGTGATAAAAAATAAAATCCAAAACGAAATTTCCTTTTCTTTCTCCAGTTTCCATAGGGTTTGGTTTAAACAAGATACTATGTTGATAGCTGAGTCTAAAAACGTAATGGTAAGTAAAAAAATTACTGTTATTTGTTTCCTTTTTCGAGTAAAATAACATATCCTCAATTACGGAAAAATATTTAGAAGGAATATCTAATGTCCCTAAAACGTCTGTTGTACTGTGAGTATTAAATTTTAGGTACAATTAGAGTTTAGGCCAAAACAAATACTAGCATTAACAATCTTAGTGGTCGTATAATGTAAACAAAAATTACCATTACTCAAAAAAAAGAGAAAAAGAAATATTAAATTTGCCAAAAGGTTCAAGCCAAAAGAATTAGATTTATTTATAAAAAAAAATTACTTACCCTCAGCTTTAGAGTACACATTTGCTGAAAAGAAAACTACCCCCCCCTTTTTTTAAACCTATAACAACCAGTTAAACAAAATAGCAAAAATGAAAACCATCATTTCATTAAAAAGTGACTCCAATCATTAAGATAAAAAAAGATATTTATTGTAGATAATAGCATGGTAAATTAAGCATAAAGATTATAAAATAAAATTTTAGGTTTTAAAATGCAAGGTGGTTGAACATTGATGGAAATTTGTATAACTTAAAGTTCTTTAGAAGAAAAATTGAAATTAATAGTCCAGTGACCTCTTTGAAACAATTACTATGGCAATAAGAAAATCAACGAAATCATACCACGTGCCCCCTGGCACGGACTGGATGGCACTTTACATGAATGTTATAACAAACAAGATCTAGATCGTCGTTTCATCCTCCTTTTACCCAACTTATTCTTTACATAAGTTTCTGTGCCCACATGGCTCGCGTTTCTCTGAGATCCCACATGGCTTTCTTGCTTCAGCCAAAATTCCGTGGAGCACGACGTCTATCAACGAGGAGATCTAGCGAGCGAGAGCCCTTGCACACCGCACGCACTCCTTTTTATATACTTTCCAAAACACCACCATTGCCACCACCACAAAACTCACAGAAAGAAATAATTTCTCAAAAATAATATTATTGTTTTAACAATAATCGAAAGATAATTATACAATAAAAATAACTTGCATATGTTGTGAAAATCTTAATCATTTAACCATTTAACAAAGCTCAAAAATTTAATTCAAAAACCCATCAAATCAGCAGAAGAAAAAAAAAACTTAAACTGAATAAACTGAAAGTAACATTTAAACTTGGATCCTTACAATCCAGTAGTAAAACTGATGCTGCCACCTTTCTGCTTAAAAAGAAATTAACTGAACAAATGTTTAAAAATAAACTGAAACTTGTTCACTATTAATAAAAGAAACATAAAATATATTTAACTATGAAAAAGTTAATTGCCTAAAATCCAAATTAAATATCTAAAAAAAACTGATTTCTTACAAGAAAGAAAAAGTATTAAAGTTTATCAAAAATAAAAGAGATTTAAAAAGTTAAAAGGTTAACGAAAACATGTAGAATTTCTGAATTCTACACTGCGGTATCAAAAATAATTATTCATTAAAATTCAGGTTCCATAATATTTCTACACTCTCTTTGTCCCAAATAAGGTGCTACATTTGATGTAGGTGGAGTTTATCAGATTGAAACCAGGCAAAGTTATGCTACTATATAATAAAAAAAATATTATATCTATATGATATTATTGTATTATATAGTATTATAATAAATTCACGTATCTTTAGGCAAGAAGATGGTTTTGGGCAATTAGTTTGTCTTTATGAAATAGGGCGAGACTTTGGTTATCAATGGGAGCCTGAGAATATAAGATATTTGAAACCATTTTAATACTGATTTAGCCCTTTCGAAGGCCGTGGGAAGTATACTTCCCACCACTTTTAATTTAGGTTTCCATTTTTTAAAAACTTCAGATTTCTTGAAGTGCGTCTGAATAAAATTGGTAGCCATTTGTTAGTTTACAAAAATGTATAAAAGTTATAAAATACATAATTCCGTTTGAAGTTTGTAAAATTTATTTTATAAATAAAGAACAATAAAAGTCAATAAATTCCTAAGAGGTCGTGTTAAATATATTTACTTCTAAAAAAATGGAATTTTTATAAACTAAATGAGTTTTTTTTTCTTACATTAATTACTATTCTTAAAACAATTTCAATTCCAAAAACACTTTAATTTATCTTTACTAGATATAAAGGGCCCATTAAAGGGTTAAGGAGGGGAAACTTGCGAGTAAAATAGGCGTTACCTTTGTTCATGTATTATGAATATAAGACGAATAATTAAAAATCAAAAGTATAATTCAGGATCTGCTTTCTTAAACTAACTTAACAAAATTAACTCACTAATACATCAGTAACTAATGCTGCTGCTCTTAGCGAGTCTCATGTAATAGATAACCTTATATTACATATGGCGCATGAGATTAATCGACAAATAGCAAGTAAAAAAATCAAAAAAATTTAATTTAATAATAAAACTGGTAATTCTTTTAACAAAATTTCAGCTTTTAAAAATTGATATTTGTACATCACGATTTGGCAATGCCTACGCTTTGTAGAAGGTTATTTTCTAATGGTTATGAAATTTACTTTATGGAAATTACTTTAGTATTTCTCATTATAGATCGTTTTTCATAGCCGCATATCAAATATTTTTGGTATCATATATGATGCAACTTTTGAATCTGGCCCATGTTGGCATTATTTAAAACTAAGTGTAATTATCCTTATTCCGCAAATTTTTTAAATACACTACTAGTTTATTACTACTTTCGTTGAGGGCGGAGCAGTTATCTTGGTGATTCTTTTCTACGTTCTAAAGTGCAGATAAATTTAATCTATCGTTGACGAGTATTTCAAACATAAATTTCTTTTATTCTTATAATAACAGTTCCTTTTAAAATAACTACTTTCTATTCTACTGTATCTGATTAATAGTAGAAATTCTATCTTAAAAATTACCACAAAAATCCTGGAAAACTATCGGTATCAGAAACAAATTTTACACTAAAATTTGTGTTTTCATAATATTTTTGTACTCCCGCTGTCCCAAATTAGATGCTGCATTTCAAATAGATGGAGTCTTTAATTACTTTCAATGCAATTCTGTTGATTAACACTGAAATTACGTTACTAAATAATACAGAANATAAAATATTATTATATATTAAAAAATATTATAATATATAATAATATATTATAATATATATAATAAAATCATTATAATATGTATAGTAAAATCATTATAATTAGTAGACGGTTCGTTAGCCCGAAGATAGTATTGAGCAATTAGCGGAACAATCCGTACAAAATGTGCGTGGCTCAAGAAAAAGCGAATAAATTGATATTTGAAATTAATTTAGTACTTATTAACCTCTGCTAGAGGGGTGAGTGATATAAGCATTTTCAGGGTGGTGACAATCAGGGTAAAAAAGATAAAAGCTAATAAACTATTTTTATAGCAGTTTATTTGTGGGCGGGGCAATAATAGTTTGTTTTGTTATATAACCACGACTTAG